GAGTTCGAGGCCAGCCTGGGCTGCCAAGTGAGTTCCAGGAAAGGCGCAAAGCTACACAGAGAAACCCTGTCTCGAAAAAAAAAAAAAAAAAAAAAAAAAAAAAGAATCTTATGTGTAAATTTGCATTTTCCCATAGCAACTTAGATATATATATAACTTATATGTGTGTAATATATAATATAATACTGTATCTACACATATATATATACATATATATATAAACACACTTTTTGGGGAAAGGGGAGTGGAATAAAAACCTGGGGCCTTTTGCATACTAAGCAGGAACTATTTCTGGGCTGTTCTTTCCAGTCACACATTTAACTGTCTTGTACTCTGCGGAGAAGCATCCTCATTTAGCAATGGCTGCTCCGTTGTCCTCCAATGCTTTCTCTTCTTGCCTTAGCCGATGGTCATGCACCTGGCCTGTGTGAACATGAGAATGTCCATGCCAGAGGCCTTGGCCGCTGCCACCATCAATGCGGCTTATGCGCTGGGGAAATCCCACACACACGGATCTCTGGAAGTGGGCAAGCAGGGCGACGTCGTCATCATCCACGCATCCAGGTGAGGGGCCTCCCAAGCTGGTACTAACGGTGGTAACTGTTAGCTGTCTTATTTGATGCCCATGTAGGCAAGTTTTAGATCCCTTCCCACTTGGTATTAGTATCAGGCTCTGTGTAGACTCCGCCCTACCCAGCCCCCTCTATTTTTACCCCTTTCCAACCAGAAAGTCTCCCTTGAGCTCCTCAACAACACGGAAAGCCAAGTCTTCAGGTCTCTTCACCGGCTTTGCGTCTGTCACGGGTCTCCGACTCCTGCTGTTTCCCTGGACTTTGGACTTGTCCCCGGGTCTGTGTGTTTGAGTTTGTGCTTTACCTCCTGACCTTTTGCTCGTTCTGTTTGTCATCCTGGCTCTGACTGATTCTTTCTCTGACTCCTGGAATCAAACGGCTCTCAACGCCTCCACTCGGCTGCTCTCTTCCTGAGTTCTTCATTCTCCCCCGAGGTCTACGACCTGGGCCTCCCATGCTGCAAGTTGGCTCCTGGTGTCTAAATCTAGATGCTGGCGAGGTTATGTCTCTTTTGACTCTCACGAGCCTGTCCCAGCCCTCGGGCCCCATGTTCTCTAGAGGAGAGCAGCTCCATCATTTCACTCCTTCTGGAAGAATCGCCTCCTTCGACCAAAGATACTATGGACGTGCCACTCATGAATCAGGTTTTCCAAGTTCAGGGTCTGCAGAACTGGCTCAGTTCATACAACACTGGCTGTGTGAGCATGAGGACTACATGCTCACACGCACGCATGCGCGCACACAGAATTCACTTTAAATCATCGTGTGCTGACACAGTGATGCTTTTGACTTACATACACTGAAGCGGCTGTTTGATTTCTTTCTAGGTGGGAACATTTGATTTACCAGTTCGGCGGCCATCATGAATTGATTGACTATGTTATAGTTAAAGGAAGAGTCATCTATAAAAAGTGACAGGTCTGGGCTAATGAGACGGCTCAGTGGGCAGTCTCCTGTCACCAAGCCCGGTGACCGGAGTTCGGCCTCTGGGGACTCAGCTGGTGGAAGGAGAGAGTGCCTGAGAGTCACTCTGACCTCCACGTACTCACTGTGGTGTGTACCCGATCTCGCACGCACGCACGCACGCACGCACGCACGCACGCACGCACGCACACCTGCACATAACCTCTACATAACCTCCACATACTCACTGTGGTGTGTACCTGATCACATGCACGCACGCGTGTGTATGCACACACATACACAGGCACGCACACACGCACGCACACCTCCACATAGCTAAATGTAGAAAGCTAAAAATATACTTCAAAAATGATAGATCTGGAAGGAATGAGAAGACACTTTCTCTGTATCCACTAAGTCCACGTGAGTTAAAGCATTTCCGGGGTTTGCCAGGTCGGTCTATGTCACTTCAGCTGCCTCATTCGTCAGCGCTCTGCTGTTCCCTTGAAAACCCAAGGGGTTAGTTTATTCGACTCAAGCATGTGTACCTGGATGTGCACACAGGTAAACCTCTTGTGATGAAATGTAGAGTTGTTTTCCCAAAGACTGGCTGCAGGTATTCTGGGGTAAGCATGATGAGGTCGCTCAGAAGTGACTCTGTGGGAGAAACAAACTTGGCCTGAGAGTTCTGTTTCATATCTGCTAGCGATCTGCCCACTGAGGCCAACGGTACCATTTCCTAACAAGCAAACAGAACCATCTCTCAGGAGAGTTTGTCTTTTGAGATGCCTTCTGGTCAGTGAGGGCTTTCTGGGGCAGAGTTGTCGGCCTTTGAAATGAAGCTTCAGCACAGAGTTCAAGACTCGATATCTTGCACAGACATGGAAACTCTCTTAGACGAATGCATTTTAATCAACACCAATGAGGTAGCTTTAAAAGAAAACCTTTAAAATTTTTTATAGCACAAAGCCACGGAAAACGTTTTATTGTGTAAATATCTGCCGCTGTCACCATTGTTGCTTCCTGACCGCCCCCGGAAGTAGATCAGCAGTATTGTCTACAGAGTGTTTCGAACTGTTCAAAGAACAAATCACAGACTCGTTTGCAGAGTGAATGATTATTTGTATAAACTGGTGTGTCTAACGCTGCGTCACCTTACTTGAAAACTTGTAAAAGGTTTCCGTGATCTTTGCAATCACAGCATCATCAAACACTGTCCTATTGCAGAGCAGTGATTTTACAAATAAACATCAGTTGCCAGACCCCCATCGTATTCAGAGCCTGAATTAATGAGGTGCTGTAACGTTCAGCAGAAATCGAGTCAGGATGCTGCGTTAGTCAGTTTTGGCTGCTGGAATAATACACCTGAGCCATGCTACTTGTGGAGCGAAGAGATTTGTTTAGCTCACAGTGGTGTCGGTTCAAGTTCAAATGGTGTGGTACAAGCTCTGGAGAGCAGCCACCCTCCGAACTCCAGTGCTTTGTCAACCCCACAGAAGACAGAGAGACTAGGTGAGGCCAAATCCAGGCTTTTATAACCAAGGCCTCTAAATTATCCACAGTCCCAGGAGAAAAACCTTAGTGTTTCCCCAACTTCCCCCACCCTTTTTTTGTGAGACAGGGTTTCTCTGTGTAGCCCTGGCTGTCCTGGAACTCCCTCTGTAGACCAGGCTGGCCTCGAACTCACAGAGATCTGCCTGCCTCTGCCTCCCAAACGCTGGGATTAAAGGTGTGTGCCACCACCAGCTGGCACCTTAGCCCCTTTCAAAGACAACCCTCCCCCACCTGTGGGCCAGGGTGGTGATAAACACCTGAAATTCTAGCACTGGGTTGCTGGAGACAGGAGGATTGTGAGACCCTTTCTCAAACATAAACAAAACAAAACAGCACAGGAAGGAGATAGAAGAGGAACTGCAAAGACTTATGGGTCATCGTAGTTCAATACAGTTTGACTTTTTGCCTGCCAAGAAGTCTTCACCTTTGGGAGGCAGTATCACCCTTCTGAGGCGGAATGTGTGCGCCGGGTGCTGTGTAGGACAGGTGAGCTAAGGTATTTGAACAAAGACACACACGAGGCTTTGGTCACCGTGAATTAAAAAATGTAGAGGTTGTTCCTTTTCTGTGTGAAGTTCTGATTCTAGGCTGGGCATTGCCTTCAGGGAATTTATGATCCTACTAGGGCTAAGACGGACATTAGAAAGTAAAGCCGATGCCAGACAGCCTTAAAAGCTTGCTCCCTTAAAAAAAAATAACCTACAAGTCCTCAGGAGGTAGAGGCAGGCGGGTCTCTGAGTACAAGACTGGCTTGGTCTACTAAGTGAGTTCCGAGAGAGGGAGAGAGAGAGAGAGAGAGAGAGAGAGAGAGAGAGAATAACCCACTGGTAAAACATAATAATTTGATATTTAGATTAGTTTTACCGGAAACTGAGATGTCCAACTCTTGGTCTAAGAATGAGCCATTGAAAGGTAAAGGCAGTGCCAGTCTCTTAGCAAGAACACCCCCCCCACCCCCCGCCGTGACGGGAAGTTACTCTAAATTTTACAGTTTGAAATATGAAGTCACATGTTTTCTGGTTGGTTCTATAGAAGCTATGGTGGCCACCTGGAACTCACGTGGTGGAAACCACCCTGTGCCAGCCTGGCCCTTAGACACTCTCAGGAGCTCAGAGATCCCACCCCCCACCTCCACCCTCCACTCCACCCCAGCTATGCGGTTAGCATGAGTTATGCTTTCCGTGTCCTGGTTTCTGATTGGTTCTTCCCAGTACTTCCCCCACGGTATTTCTACACTTTATGATGATCATTTGTTTTCTAACCTGGCCTACTGCCCAGGCTGGAAGTGCAAAGACTCAGATCCTAGTTGACACTCATTTAGAAATTCATCCACCCATGCCTGTAATCCTAGCACTAGAGATAAATCGACAGGAGGGCCAGCTTCAGCTACACAGTGAGTTCAAGGCCAGCCTGGGCTACATGAGATCTTATCCAAAAAAAATTTTTTTAACACTTATTTTTAGATTATGTGAATGAGTGTTTTGCCTGACTGTGTGCACGGTGGGTGAGTGTGTAAAGTGACAAAGGGATATTGGATCCTTTGGAACCGGAGTTACCAACAGTTGTGAGCTGCCGTGTGGATGCTGGGAACTGAACCAGGTCCTCTGCATGCACAGCCAGTACTCTTAACTGCTGAGCCAGCGTTCCAACTTCATGCCAAATAATAATTCAAACAAACAAACAAACAAAAAAACAGAAATTGACCAACCAAAGGAGTGACTTCCTGAAATTCACACTGCCTTGAATGTCTTCTTTTCCTCCCTTCTCTGACTCCCACCGGCTGGGACGCCAGTCCAGCCACCTCCTCCAGGCCTCCCTGACAATCAAGTCACATGACCGTTGTTCCCGGCAGCCTCTGTTGTGGTAGCACTTGCATTACCACCACCCTATCACCATGTCCGTGGGGCTGTGGATTAAAAAACAGAGACAAAAGACAGCGAGTTATTCACCACAGCAGAATGCTGAATGCCGTTTATTGAAGGAGGGAGGAAACCTTAAATACAGGCTTACCGCACAATGGAGGATCCCTGGAGGGCAGAAGTTCACTACCCATGTTCTACCTTCTTGCATCTAAGCTGTTTACACCAAATGCAGGATACAGGATACACGAACAAAGAACCTCCGGTGAGCCTTCAGGAAGAAGGAAACCAGCAGGGAATCTGAATAGGGAGGACATCTGGTCAGGAGCCATCCCCAGTGGTGGATGGGTCCTGCAGAGAGTATAAGGAGTCGGCTGGGGAAGGAAGTGAGCCAGGCCATGGTGATCCGGCAGATCCTGCAACCTTACTGACTGACTAGCAGCCAGAATGTTTCTTTTCTTTTCTTTTTTGTTTTTTGAGACAGGGTTTCTCTGTGTAGTTTTGGTGCCTTTCCTGGAACTCATTCTGTAGACCAGGTTGGCCTTGAATTCACAGAGATCCGCCTGGCTCTGCCTCCCCAGTGCTGGGATTAAAGGCGTGCACCACCACCGCCCAGCTGGAGTGTTTGTTTATTTATACATAATTTAGTAAGCAGTGATACATTCATGATGTTCCAAAATATAGATCATATCATTTTTGGTTTGGGCATGTGTTTCATTTCCTTTTGCTCATCTTTTAGTCATCACTAATAAACTTTAACAGAACAGGATTATTATTTCCAATCATTTTCTCTCAAGTGTTGACATCATTAATAAACAGAGTTATCATTCTTACTCATTAACCCCATAACCCAATTTTAAGAATCTAGAGGCATATGACAGCCTGTTCTCAGGTTGGTAGCTTTGGTTGCTTCAAGGACATTAGACCAAAACAAAATCTTCAACCACCTTGAACTTTTTGCCATGTCCCAAGCAGTATATTATTAATGCTTAGTGGTCAGAGTACCCAGGAAAAATCCTCAGGCCAAAGCTGCTGCAGTTATTATTCAAATTCTGGCACAATACAATCAATGTTGACATTTATATCTTTATTGAATTTGTTTATATGTCTAATCCTGGCATTCTGTTGTTCCTTGGTCATATGACATTATAGTGGCTCTGTAAGAGCTAACTACCAAGAGAGGGAGGTCCTGACATCTCATACTTTCATTATCTTTCCACTCCATACTTTGCTTATCAATATGTCTCTGTGTAGGGCAGAGTTGAATGCCACATTATTGTCTAAGTGTACAGTGGGAAGAGCCTTGTAATCTGACCTGTGGCCAACTCCTCTAGCCCACCGGATCTTCTTGACCTTTTTGAGTTTATTTTGTTTTGAAAGTACAGAGACGGATGTTTCAAGAATGTCTCACAGCCTCATGAAGGAACCTCTGGCTTCTTCTTTATGTGTCACAACCTCCAAGGCATAAAGAAGACCTTCAAGTAGATAAGGATATCTCCCTCAAAGTGTGTGTGTGTGTGGGGGGGGAATAGTATGTTCAGGACTTTCCTGGGGAAGCTTCGAAGCAGCATTCCTGGGGAGAAGGCATAAATGGTGCAAAAGAAATTTCCATCAATCCAATATCCTCAAACTGTACAAATATTAAAAGTATCCCAAGTATGCACCGGGTAGAGATGAAAACCAAAGGTGGCATGGCAGCCATCATGGGGCTCAGCTCTGCTGGATCTTTGTCAAGCAGCTGTGCTGGCTTTATGACTTCTGCCATTCCATTCAGTATGGCTGTGCCTGAAAAGTCCTTAAAGAGCAGACTGCGCTGGTCAGGTGATGCACCACAGCCCTGGCTCAGTCCCACACACTGGGCCAAGAGGCATAATATTCATGACAGGTGTCAAGAACCTGACCAGATGTGGCTTTAAAAGTGTGTGTGTGTGTGTGTGTGTGTGTGTGTGTGCCCCAGGGATGGCTCAGTGGCTAAGAGCACTGGCTGCTCTTCCCAAGGACACGACTGTCGGTATGCAAATCCGATGCCCTCTTCTGGCCTCCACAGGCACCAGGCATGTGGTGCACAGACATACATGCAGGCAAAACACCTATACACAGAAAATAAAAAATAATATATGTATTTTTTTTTTAAGTAAGGGGGAAGGAAGTCAGGCCTGACGGTACATGCTTGTAATCCCAGTTACTTGGGAAGCTGAGGCAGGAGGATCTTGAGTTGAAGGCTGCCTATCCTGTGGAGTATGCTCAAGACCAGCCTGAGTAACTTAGCGATACCCTGCTGTGGTCAGACCAGAGATGCTGCCCCTGGAGAGGGGACCAGCACACCTGTATCCTGTCCCTCTGCTTGTCTAAGATACTAGATTCGGAGGCTTCTCCCTGCTCGAGTCTGTAAAAGTGAAGAATTCCCTTCATTCTGTGGCTATTTTTTAATCTCCCACGCTTGCTTCTGCTGTTGGACATGGAACTATGAAAGGACCCAATTACCTACCTCTCACACATCTTAGTGCGAGTCTATAACCAAACCAGAACTCTAGCTCATTCCTCCCTTACCTAACAGTTTAAAAAAAATGATAGTTGGGAATATATAAGTCAGTGGTAGAGCACTTGTCTACAATGTGTGGGGCCCTAAATTTAGGAAGGGATGGGAGGAGAAGTAAAGGGATAGAGATGTGGGGAAAAGCAGCCTTTTCAGCTCATCACTGGAAATTCAGAAGCAGGGCAGCCCCCTTAGGCATACACAACAACTCAGCCACGCGATGACCCGGATAGACACCTTCCTGCCTCTGCTCTGCCACCCGGCAGTGCCCCGGATCTGGCTGTCAGTCACTTTCCTCATCCAGGTCAAGCAGGAGAGAACAATGGATGGCCTCCCTGGCTCCAGGGAGAGAAAAAAAACGCTCTCTCAGAAGTTGCCAATGAGATTTTCCATGTCATTAGCTCTCTTGCAATCCCAGGCCTTTCTTGAACTCAGCAGGGAGCAGAACGCACAGGGCCGTTTACACTAAGCAGGTCTACCTCTAGGCTGAGGGAATGCTCTCTATGTTTTTTTTTTGTTTGTTTGTTTTCAATGCTCACACCTAATAAATTGGTGCCTTTAACAAAGGTAACCAAAAAGCAAAATGATTATTTATTTTTGATCAATTGTTTACGACAGCCGTTTTTCAACCTTCCTAATGTTGCAACCCTTTAATACAGTGCCTCGTGTCAGCCATAACATTATTTTCGTTGCTACTTCATAGCTGTCATTTCGCTACTGTTATGAGTCATAATGTAAATATTTGTGGTCTCTGATGGTCTTCAGCGACCCCTGTGAAAGAGGTGTTCAGCCCCCAAGGATGAATGGCCAGACCCCAAAATAAAACACAAGTATAATAGTATGAAAATTATCTCTTTTCAAGTTATTTATTAGAATTTATAAATTGGGTAGGTTGATAATGGCCACAAGTGTCCTAAGTCACGTGTCCATCCTCTATAGTTGGCTCTGGCGTGCCACGTGGCTTGTATCGGCCACCAGGGAACGAGCAAATGGAAGAGCAGAAGTTGTGGGTGGACCCCAACCTTGAGGCCTCATCCTCTCCTACTGCCCTAAGTGAAGGGACCCAGGCAAGCACCCCGGGGAAGGGAAGCCTGATATGCCAACTCGTTTGCCACGCCTCCACGGGAAAGGCACGAGGTTCGGCACCTTGTCTCAGATCTGTTATCTTTCTCTGACTGACTCGTTCAGAAACTTGACCAGCTACACTCGGGAGAGGTGTTTTTCTGAAGAGGTGGAGGTGTCCTGGTTAGCTCCAGGTGTCAAGTTGACACAGCCTAGCGTCAACCGGGAAGTCTCAACTCTGGGGCTGCCCACATCAGATTGGCCTGCGGCCATGTTTGTGAAGGATTATCATGATGGATGATTGGCGTGGGAAGGCCCAACCCACTGTGGATGGCACCCACCCTAGGCAGGTGGGTCTGGGCTGTAGAAGGTGTTAGTGAGCCAGTCAATAGCTAGCAAGCAGTGTTCCTCCAGATTGCTGCAGTGATGGACTGTCCATGGGAGCGTGAGCTGGAAAAAAACCTTTTCCTCCACCCAGCAGCTTTTGCTCCCAGTGTTTTCTCACAGCAACAGAAAAGCAAATATTAGGTGTTAAACTTTGTTCAAAATAAATAAAAGTAGAAGGTAGAAGTGCAACTCGGTGCCAGAGGATGTGTTTAACACACACATGACCCCAGGCTCAGTTTCTCCCCAAAGAACACCGTGATAGCAAGCCATTGACACAGTCTGCCCCCCCTACCTACCGGAGACTCTTGAAAGTGGGGAACTAACAGAGCTAGATACAAAACCTAGGGGTGAAATCTGTCAAAAGGAAGGCCGAGGTGGACAGGAAGCCAGCATTGCCAAACCAGGAGTGGGAGCGGCCATCTGCTGGGCCCCGCTGCCTCTGCAGCAGCTTGGGTAGAGGAATGGGTAAACTCCGTGGTGTGTGTGTGTGTGTGTGTGTGTGTGTGTGTGTTGGCATTCAGCAAAAGCTAGCAGGAAGAATAACCTGCAGCTAAGCCTGTTCCTGGGCCCTTTTTCACCTCTTGAGTTGCTGAAGGCAAAGACTGTGGACAGGGCATGCTCAGAAGAGTGAGGACCATGTGCTGGGGAATATATCTTGGGCCCCCTGTCGTCTGTGACCAGCAAGGGATGCTGGCAAGCGTGTTCGTGAACCAGCTACAGTCTTTCTAGCCACGCGTTCAGACTCCTGCACATGCAGTGTTTTGCACGTGTCCCCAGCCATGGCTGCGAAGTCATCCATCCCAGCCTTGGGCTGTCAAGAGGTCGCCTGCCCGACCTTTCTGAACAATGACACAAAGCCTACCCACAAGATTCTTTATCTGCTTGGGGGAGAAACAGAGGTTGGGCAATCATCTGCAGGGCCCCATCTGACCCGTGTTAACAAAGCTCATGTTAATGATTACCTACTGCAGGCAGTGGACCAGCTCCCGCCCCGACCCCCAAATGCCTCATCTGCGCAACAGGAGGCTGCTCACTAAACTTACTACCAACAGATGAATGGAGCACTAAGTTGTGGGAAATGACAGGACTAACTTCGAACTTCGCCTGAGCACATCACCAAGCGGTTAGGAGATATGTGCCGTGATTGGAGACATACGAAAGGCATGGCTAGGCAAGGGCAGTCTTTATATTCATCCCCCACCTCCTTTGCGTTCTTGGTGGGGTTGTTTCAACACCCCTGTACTTAGTAGGACACAGATAACAACCAGAAACAACCAAAAAGAGGGACTGTTAACCTTTGTAGTTAATGGCTTCAGACCTGTTCACATCCCGCCCCCCCCCCCCCCCCCTGTGTGTGTGTGTGTGTGTGTGTGTGTGTGTGTGTGTGTGTAAGGTGCACTTGCTCCTGTGGGCACATGCAGAGCCCAGAGATAAATGTTAAGATGTCTTTTCTTATCACTCTCTATATCATATATTTTTTTTTTTGAGGCAGGAACCTGGAATTCACCATTTCTGCAAGACTGGCTGAGCAGTGAGCCCCCCCAGGAGTTTGTCTCTGTCCACCAGTGTTGGGGCTCAGGTGCCCACCACCACACTGTTCTTTTTTTTTTTTACACAGATGCTTGAGATTTGAACTCAGTTTGGATCCTCATTATGCACCCAATTATGGAACTCAATTATGCACCCCCTGAACCAGCTCCCCTCGCTCAAGACTCTTTTCTGCGATTCCATGAGCAGGAGGAGGAGGGGCTTAGGAACAAATTCTGACTTGAAGCATATTTGTCAGGTTATGGTACAGTCCAACCAGCCAAAGAAAGTCAACTAGGAGAGTTTCTCGAGACAAATTTTTCTTTAAAAGGTTCACAAAAGTCTGACGCTTCAAAGAAGAATGCTCTGCATTGAGTTCCCTAATACCAAGAGTCAAAATAGACCTATGGAATTGTGGCCATTTTTAAGAGTAAGTAGCCTGTTTACATTGTCAAGAAAGAAAACGCCATGACCCAAAGACAGCCAGAACTCCGCAAACCATGGCGATGAGGACAGGGCTCTCGGTTCCGCAACTGCTTTGCTGCCGCCGACCTAACCAGAGCGTGCTTGAAAAGGGACGAGTTCTTCGCATCATGGACGGTGGTTGCTGGGCCCCTCCCTCACCCACCACGGCTGTGTGGGGCCCGGGCATGTCCGAGGTGCCCGACCACGAGGAAGCCCACTAAAGATCGTCAGACTCTGGGATTGTAACTGAATTCTTTCGCAGGGATTCTAGTGAAAACGCGGTTGGAGAAAGCGGCCTGGATTCCGGGATGTGCTCCATTCTGTATTTCTCAATGTACGGGGCAGCAACTTCCCAGACCTGAGAGGCAAGGAGGGGACAAAGTCGAACTGGGGACAAAATTGTTTCCACAATGCTGTGATGAAACGTGAGCTTCGCCCCAAATCCAAGCGCACCTTCTGTACCTGGCCAAACACATAGCAGCTCGCTTGCTTGTACTTGGGCCATTTGACACAGACTCCGTGTCAATTAGCTGCTGGATACATTAAAGGATTTTAAAATGCAAAGTCCAAAACCAAGCTCACGTTGTAAAGGTGTTGAAGCTGCTTTCTACTTCGGAGCAAAGCAAGCAAATCCACAAAACCCAAACAGAACCTTGGCAGCTCAGAGCGGACCTCTGCATGCTTACTCGGGAATCTGGGAGATAGGGCAGCGCACAAGGCTTGGAAGCTGAAAAGGTGGTGCAGGGAATTCCCCCAAGGTTGTGTTTCTAGGGCCAGAAGTATGCAAATATGGCCCGTGTCCCAGTTCCATAAGCATCACCAGGGACAAGCCAGCGTCAGCTTCCACCCTTCACGGGAATGGAAGCTGAGTTGGTATACAATGATAAGACTGTCACCTGCACGGCCAGGCTTTCCTCTCCATCTGCCAACCTATTTTCTTAAGGCTCCATTTTTGGCTTGTAGTTTCCTTTCTTTCTGCTTGTGGCCCCTGACAGCCAAGGAATCTTTCCTATCCTATGACCTCACAAGATACACTCTTAACCAGTGTGGTAGCTCCTACCTGAATCCTAATACCCTTTGGTTCTGGAATATACCAAGGGGAAGAAGATTGGCCTAAACTTGTGGCCATCCTGGGCTGCTCCATGAGGCCTGAGCCTGCCTGAGCTACACAGCCTGAGATACTATCTAAAACACCCTGGAAAAGGACATGTATTCTTTACAAGCTAACCCCCTCATGGGAGATGTGTTCCCTCAAAGGATATAGAAATCAGAGTTGTGAAGTTTAAAGGGAACGTTTGTCCCCCAGAACAGTCACAGCTCTAAGGGAAATCAAGTGATTCTAGGGAATGTGGCACCAATGACTCAAAAGTTTTAAAGCATTTTTAAAAAGTGTCTGTGTGTGTATGTGTGTGTGTGGCATATATGTAAAAGATATATCTATTACATACATATGCATACATCTTATATATTAGAGGCATATAAAATATACATGTGTATTAATTTGCATAGGCTGCATGCTTTTGTTTTGTGTGTGTATGTATTTTAAAAGATGACCCAGCCTTTTAGGCATCTGTATCAAGTTCCCAAGTCTATGGCCAATATCACCAAAGGAGATGAGCAGCAAAGAAAACTATCTTGCCGAGCAAGCAGGTACAGGGACACAGTGGAACCCTGGGACTTCACAGTGTCTTCTTCACTGGGTGGTGGGAGCTGTGCTAACCTCAGCAGGAGAAAGTGTGTTAGGGCGGCAGAGGACGGCTTACAGAAGGCTAATGAGCTACCGCCCCATAGTCTCCTCATGAATACCGTCTCCACCCTCCACTTAAAACCACGTCTAATCCGTCCATAGTCAGTATCTGGGTCCAAGCCGGGTCTTTGGGGGAACTATCAACGGCCTTTCATCATCTTGCAAATCAGCTCTCTACTTTTGTGTTCTCTCCCTAGGGAGAGCCAGGAGAGACAGGCTAAGACAGTGTCTCTCCACCCTCAGCTCCCACTTCCCTTCCTCACGCCCATCAAGTGGTCAGCTTGCCTTTTGCTCCAGAAGTAGCCTGTGGGCTGCTTCGATGTCCGGGGCCATGAAGCGATCTTTGATCCAGGGCCTACAGAGGAAGCAGATCAAGTCATCAGCCACAGCACACCTGCCTCTGCACAGACCCACCGCTCGGAAATGGGGTCAGTCCCGGAGGCCCGTTGGCTTTACCTGACCACAGAGCGCACCAGGTCGTACACCTTCTCCAGCGGAGTGGTTGTTTTCAGGGGCCGTAGAAACTCTATGCCCTGGCAGGCAGCGAGAAGCTCGATGGCCAGGACTGAAACAAAAACATGAAAGCAATCAATGGTCACTTCAAGCCTGGTTTCATCCCCATGGGGCCGAAATCACGCAGAGTCGGAACTATCAGGAGCCACCTGCATGGACAGCTGGCTTTCTGTGTAGTGATAGAATGAAATTGCCTTAAAAGTGCTGGCATTACAGGTATGCACCTATTACAACCAGTTTATGCGGTGCCTGGATTGAGTCCAGGGCCTGCGCATGCTAGGAAGCAAACACTATACCAACTGAGCTACATACACACAGCTCCAGGCCTAAGTTAGTTTTAATTTAAGCCTCTTTTTTTTTTCCTCTTGGGTTTTTGAGACAGTGTTTTACTGTGTAACAGCCTTGACTGTCTTGGAACTTGCTCTGTACACCAGCCTAGCCTTGAACTCACAAAGATCCACCTGCCTCTGCCTCCCAAGGGCTGGGATTCAAAGTGTGGGCCACCACTGTCCAGCTTAAACCTCTTTTTCGAAGCTTTTGGTTGTATCTTCATTGATGAGCTGGAGAACTGAAAAATTTACCGGGAGAGATTAGCAGTGTTCAGAACCCACCAAGGGAGCTGCCTGTTAGGCTCCATTGGCACAATCTGCCAGTGCCTCTTTCACCAAGGTTCGCCAGCCGGTGGTTATGTCATGTGGATGGAGAGGGGGGGCTACCTGAGAACCCCATCCCTGCTTGGAGTCCCAATTTCACTAAATAATGATGCGGCTCTTCTAGGTCCACGGTGGATTATTTACCCTCTCTCCTCTGTGACCTTTCTGTACTCACCTAAATGTGTAATGTGCTTTATAAACTGAAAAGCAAGAAGTCAAATATTTTTAATATACCATCTGGGCTAAGCACTGTGAACTGAAGTTCTCGGGGGGCGGGGGGGGGGGGAGGAAAGCCTATGTTAAAGATTCTAGCTAAGCGGTGGTGGCACACACCTTTAATCCCAGCACTCAGGAAACAGAGGCAGGTGGATCTCTGTGAGTTCGAGGCCAGCCTGGTCTACAGATCAAGATCCAGGACAGGCACCAAAACTACATGGAGAAACCCTGTCTCGAAAAACCAAAATAAATAAATAAATAAATTCTACAAAGCTAATGGACTGATTAGAACTCTGTGATGGTTGAAGGTTGGAATACTGCAAATCCAACCCGAACCATCTTGGGCTATTGTTAGTCCATTTAATAGCTATCCATTGCTCACCTCTGTGTCTGATCTAACACCCACGTGACTACCCAGTGAAACCCCCTGGGATATATTAACTTAGCATATCACTATCTCCCTCCAACCCCCGAGCTAAGAATGGCACCAAACAGCATCCGAGACTACGGCAGAGAATCCTCTGCTCTACGGTAACCCACCTACCTGACGCTCCCACTAATGTGCCTGGATTTAGGATGTGCTTTTGCTCTGGAACTATAAAAACGTCACAAATGGTTACCATGTTGGAACATAGAACTTGGGGTAACCTAAGTAACCCAAATCTGTGTTCCCGGGCCACGACCATTCACAGAAGAAACTCTAGAATAAGCCATCTCGTATCCCCTCGGAGGTGAGCGCTGTGTGTCTTATCTTGACAGGGAGTGGTGAAGATAATGGACTTGAACCTGGGTTTAGATCCCATCACCGACATTGAGACTGTACAGTTTTGGGGACGTGGACCTCTGCTTTGGTTGCCAGATCTGTCAAAGGGGACGACAGTCCAGGCCTCCCTAGGGTGACAATACTGTATTATTATATTATAGATTAAATGAGTCACAAGGTCGGATATAAGTAGAGAATGTCTGATACATATTAGTAACATGTTGTATTACCTGTGTTGTGACAGATGCAGCCAAAGGCAGATAGCAACAGGCGAGCACATATTGGAAAAATAAACATGAAACACTGAGAGAAAAACTCTAAGTTGCTACTTGTGACGCGTTTTGCTCTGTAACCCGGTCCCCTAGAATCCATCAACTGTGCAAGGACTGTGTGCATCTTCATCCAGCTGGATGCTTTTCATCCAGCGCCCCTTTGAAAACAAGCCCAAGGGCCACCCTAACTGTGCGAGCTATCGTTCAAACACATTGCAAATGTCCGGGCAATGCCGTCTGGTTTTAGGATGGATTTCTTCATCTTAGAAAAATTCACATGGATTCAAACTACCCTCAGCCTGTTAGCTTTTAGGTCTTCAGTAGGCACGCTGCTATCTGCATAACCACAGAGGTTAAGAATAGAGTAAGGGATGGGGGGGGCAGGAGACAGAAGGAAATCAATCCTAAGGTAAGGGAGATAAAATATACAGTTATGGAAGAGACAGGGTTGGGGGGCTGCAAAGGGAGGGTTAAACAGAGAAAGGGGAGAAAAGGGGGGAAATACGGGGAGTCAACAAACACTAAGGGCCATCTGAGGGGTCATATGGAAACCTAGTACAATAGAAGCTTATATATATATGTGTATATATAGATATGTATACATACATACATACATACATATATACATATATGAAAGAAACCTAAGTGGAATCATCAGATAACAGGGAAGATAATGTCCCAACTGGACTTCTCACACCAGTAACTGAAATCTCCAGTGCCAGGAACGGGTTGCATCTAATTGAGTTGTTGGCCAACATGCCCCATAGAAACCCCCAAGCCACTCAGGCTATTTCCAAGCCTGCTGGTAGCTTTCCATAAGCTGACAGTAAGGCGCTGTAGCTGAAGACAACATCTACGTACCTCACTGAACACGGAGGAGCCAAGCCAGTGCCTAACTGGAGTCTTTATCCCTGCTGACTGGTTTTCACTGCACTGGAAGGTACTCTGTACACTACTAGAAGAGAAAGCTAAATACCAACCACGGTATAAACCCCTCCACCTACAATGGGGTGACCAGTCTGCATGACACACTGAAGCAATAGTGGTACAAAAGTTGTGGGAGTCGCCAACCACTCTCTGATTGGATTCGAAGCCTACTCCATGAGATGAAACCCATGCCTGCCACTGCTCAGGTGGCCAAGATCCTGAGACTAGACTGGCCATGGACCTAGAGAAAAAAACACCACCACCACCAAATGCTATTGTTCTAATAAAGGAACATAGCAATAAAATCACTCCTAATGACATTCTGCTATACCCATAGATCAGTGTCTCACTCAGCCATCATCAGAGAAGATTCCTCCCGGAGTAGATGGGAACTAATGTAGAGACCCACAGCTGGGCACTGGGCAGAGAGCGAGAGACCTTGGAACACTCAGTTCTAAATGGGATGTCGTCGTGGAACCTCTCCTCAGGTCTTAGAGGAGGAAGAAAGATTGTAAGAGCCGGAGGGGATGGAAGAGACCAAGGAAACAGTGCCTTCCAGACACACCAGGACTGACATGCATATGGATTCACACAGACTGTGGCAGCATGCACAGGATCTGCACAGGTTCAAGCCAGATGGGGCCCCAGGAGTGAGAAAGGAAGTAGACACAAGCCCCCATCCCATCCCTAGTCCAGAAGCTATCTCCAACTGACAACTGCGTGCAAAGGAGAAATGAGTTTTCTTCAAGGGAGCATCACTGGGCAGACAAACCACACTTAAGGGGGGCCCCGTGCCCAGCACGAGACAGCCAAAACAAGATGAATGCAGTGTTATTGTTGGAGCTGATTTTGTCTTCCCATGGGTTTTGTGTGTGTGCATGGGTATGTATATTTCTGTGTGTGTGTGTGTGTGTGTGTGTGTGTGTGTGTGTTTATGTGCTTTTCCCTTTTTCTTCTGTTTGCTTTGTTTATTCTGGTTTGTTTTTTGTTTTATTGGCCTTGTGGGGAAGATCTGGGAGGTGATGGGGGAGGGGAAACTGTGATTAGAGTGGAAACTGTGAGCAGAATATACTCTATGAAAAAAAATCTACTGCAAATTAAAAAGAAATAAAACTATCCTAAGCAAATAAATAGCAGCACTTCTTAGCTATCTTGCAAATGTATATGTTACTTAGATGCATTGAAAACACGTCTGGTGCTTTTACCTACCACGGGGCTAATTTAAATGCACGACCTTGTCTCTAGAACTGTCTTGACTTCATACCCCTTCACCCGCTTCAGATCTCTGCCGCCCTGTGTTCTACGAGGTGTTCCCTTCGACCCAGTTTCTTCCCTTCTTCCAGTCACCCGTTATCCTTCAAGTTCCCTTTCATCCCCATGCAACTGCTTCAGCAAGGCCACGCTCCTGCACCTCATACCCCTGGTCACCTCCGGCTACCTCTATACACAGAGCACTGACCATCGATCACCCAGCAGCACTTTCCCCAGGCGTTGGCCTCTGTTCTTGGATGCCCCATGGTGTCACTGTTTTGCATGCCTCTTCCCTTTCCCTCATAACAGTAATTCACTTCACACACACACACACACACACACACACACACACAGATAGAGATAGAGATAGAGATAGAGA